CTATAATATATATCATATGATACTTTTATTAATTTTTTTCATTTTGAAGAAATCTACAGGCAAAACTAGTAAAGGAATGGATCATACGATATGATCCATTCCAAACGTTCGCGAGGCTTACCTGAATTGATAGTTTAAAGGTCAGTTGTATAATGGAAGGGAAATAAACGATACGAACCCATTAGGGTGAGCCTCGACGGATGATGTATGTCTTTTATTCTTTTTTTTGTGATCATGCCTTCATTCAATCCGCTTCATTTTTTTTTTTTTTAATTTCTGTTGGGCCCTTTCAATAAGCTTGTCCTTATACAAGAGAGAGTACACCCATTACTTCTATCAATCCCTATCCGACCGGCACCCCGACGGGGTTTATGAATCATTTCGTCCGTTTGTACGGCGATGCCTGCGCGGCGGAGGGGCTTTCGATGAATCCCGCCGTTATCGAGCGCCTGGCGCGGGCCGTTGCGGAGGTCGACGCGCAGGCGCCGGGCGCGCCCCTCCTGACGCTCCGTTTCGACGGCCTGGTGTGCGGCGAGGGGGATTGGGCGGCCGTTTCGGCTGCGCTCCCCGGCCTGGCCCTGGGGGCTCTGAGCCTGGAGGAGTCCTATGTGGGGGACCTTGGGCTCCGCGCCGTCTGCCGCGGGCTCGCCTCGGGGCCCGCTTTGGGGGCTTTGGGGGTCGGGCGGCAGCCCTCGCCCTGCGGGCTGCGATCGCTCGTTCTGAAACACGCCGCCCTTCGCGACGCCTCGCCGCTGGCCGAGGCCCTCGCGGCCTGCCCGCGGCTTTCGTTTTTGGATCTGTCCCGGAATCGCCTCGGGGTGTGTGCGGAGGGGGTGGTGGGGCTCTGCCGCGCGCTTGGCGTGCACCCCGGGCTGGCGGCGGTGGACTTGGCGGATAACCTGCTCCAGGGCCGCCGCGGCGGCGACGTCGTGCAGGCGCTGTCGGAGCTTTTGGTCCGCAGTGGTCGCCCCGAGAGCGCGTTGCGCGCGCTTCACCTTCAGGATAACCAACTCGGGGATTATTTCTTGATCCCAAGCACCCTGCCGGGATCGCACCCTACGAGATGGGGCGGCCTCGTGGACAGGGAGGGGGGGGCGGGCTTGGGGGTTTTGTGCGAGGGGCCGAATGGAGCGAAGCTCGAAGCCGCCGGAGCGGTGCAGGACGCGATGCTACCGTTCGTTCCGCCAAGTGCGCTCCTCGGCGCGCATCCGTTCATGGAGGCTTTGTTTCTGAATAACACCCTTGAGGAGTTCCGCTTGGAGGGGAATGGCTTTCCAGACGGGCTACTGGAGTGGATCGAGGCAAAGATGCGCGTAAACCGGCGAACCCGCCAACGCTATATGAAGGAGTTCAGCGCTCAAAATAGAGATGAGCTCCCCATTGTGATGGACACCTAGGCGATGTATGCAATGTCATTACTCTATAGGTGCTACTACATTAGTTTTTCTATCCTTTAATTATAATGAATTTACCAACTGCTGATTTTTTTTTGCCTTTTGTCTGATTCTCAAAGAGGTAGTTTCTGTTGTATCCGCGGCCCCTTTATGAGTACCTTGGAGTTTACTAATTAAAAAAATGCTCAACAAACGGACACAAGCACTCATGATGCATCTTAAATGATCCCTTTCACCCATTTTTTCCCCTCTTCATTTTTAATTTTGCTTAAATCAGAAATAAAGGAAGCAATTCCCTTTTTGCTTCCTTTAAAATTTGTACATCATTTGTGGCTTTATACCAAGGGAAGAACCCTCGGTTCTTCTCTTTCCTAGATTGCGTATACATTTATTTATACATATCTGAGGGGTATTCCCTTCGTTCTTCGTGATGTGTGACCACCGTTTTCCTGATAATTCTGTGGCCGGCGGTGTCTTTTCGCCTGATGGGCTGAATTCCTCCGGCGTGGCGGCGTTATCACTGAAAGACGCTTCTTTTGATCTCCGCCGTGTGGCAAATTTGGTTTGTCAGCTTGCCACTGCACGCCACGAAGTACGGCGGCTCGAGACGATCGTCAAGGATCAGGCCGCCGAGCTGTCGAAGCTCCGGCAGGGACGGCACCACTCCCCAGGTAGCCACACACCGCCGCAGAAAAAAACTTCTCCACTGGGGCGCGACCCGGCGGGGGGTCAACTTTCTCATTCTCCGAAATCGCAAGGCTCGACCTACTTCAGCGCGAGCGATGCGACGCCTTCTGATCTCTCCGCCCATCAGACGCATAAAGGAAAAGCCAAGAGGGGCGAATCACCGGTGACCCACAAACGCCACGCGTTCTCCACCCTGAATTATGACCCCTCCCGGACTCACAAATCACGCACGCGAGCGGCGTCTTCGAGTTCGTACTCGCATCGCGCGAAAAGGTCGCATGCGGGGACGATGCGGCGTAGTCCCCCGCGCCGTCCTCGCGAGCGCGCGGCGTGTCGTTACCACGACGACGACGACGACGACGATTTTCGTCCTCGCCATCACCTCTCCTCCGCCGGGCGTCGTTGGAAGCGTCGTTATCGTGATCTCCTGCACTACCACCGTTCAACCCTCGTCGAGTGCGAGGAGGAGCTGCGTGAGCTGCAGCGCATTGTGGGGGCGGTGCGGACAGGGTCGAAATCGATGCACCCAACCCCAACGCGATTGGCGGAGGCCCCTTACCAGCCCCCTCTTCCTCCCAGTTTTCCCCCTTCGTTACTGCCCACCCGCGTCTGCGCCGCGCAGCCATCCTCGCAGACCTCCGCAGCCCCCTCCTTGACGGTTCCTTCTACCGGGACGCTCTACACCCCGCCACGGCTGTCCGAAGCCCCTCCTTTTCTCACAGCAGCCCACCCATCACAGTCACCGGCGGTTCCCCCTGCAGGAACGCTCTACACCCCACCACGGCCATCTGAAGTCCCCTCTTTTGTCACAGCAGCCCACCCATCACAGAGACCGGCGGTTTCCCCTGCAGGAACGCTCTACACCCCACCACGGCCATCCGAAGCCCCTCCTTTTCTCACAGCAGCCCACACCCCACCACGGCTGTCGGTGGCCCCTTCCTTGACGGTTTCCCCTGCGGGAACGGTCCGCACCCCGCCACGGTTTTTCCCGCCCTCCGGGGAGGTCATCCCGTTACAGGAGGAGCTGCGGATGTGGCGGGTGCAGTGCCTCCGGCTCCTGCAGGAAAAGGAGAGACGGAGGGGGGAGCGGCAGCCGTCGGAGCCGAGGCAGGCCGAGGCGGAGAAGGAGGAGGGGGGGCTGCCGGGGAAGCCGTCACAGCCTGCGCGGGATGCCGCGGCGAGGAACGGGGGCTGCGATGATACCGCTCCGTCCTCTTATTTAGGGGGGGGGGCGAAACAGCAGCACTGCAGCCACCACCAGGGTGGGGAGGGCTCCCAGGTGGGGGCTGCTGAGGCCTGCGCCGATACTCTGAGCAACTCTCATGGGAATCCGCCCTCGTCAAAGATGGGTGCTGCAATCAAAGTTTCCACCTTGCCGTTACCTGTGGAGTTCAGTGGATGCCAATTGTTCATGACTTTGCCCTGCGGCGAGAAGACCTTGCCAGTACAGCTCGTCGCCAATCCCGGCCTTGCTGTGAAGGCTGACGATGATGCTGAATCTCAGACCACTTCTGCGGCGCCTGTAGTTCGGAAAGGCATCTTTGAACACACAAAGGGAGAGGGCCTTCTGAAACAAACCGAATCAGTGCAAGATGTGGTAGAGCACTTTGGTGCGAGGGAGACCGATAAGCGCTTGCAAGCGCGACGGAAGTTAGAGTTTCATATCGCTCGACACGATCAGCTCCTCAACGCCATTGCGAAGCTTCAACGAACGGCGGCGGATCAAACTTCTCGGGTTCCCGATTAAGCACAAAGTGAGGTTTGAGTATGAGGGTAGTGATGGTAGAGGGATTTCATGAAACAGGTTCAGGGCACCACTACCATTATAATCTATAGAGTCCTCGCTTTGATTGCTTTTACACCTCTTCTTTCTCTACTATTGGTAATAAGTTTATTTAGATCTACTTCTGAACCATTTACTTATTTTTTTAAATATTTCTATACATCTTTAGATGGAGGATAATTTTTTAAAATCCGATCCTTTATCGAGTGAGCAAAGAGGCCCCTTTGAAGGTCAAGGTGTAGTTTTTCCTCTATAAATCGTAGTTCTCTGTTTTCTTCTAGTTTGTCAATGGGCATACAATTTGCATATACAAGGTAACCTTTGCCATTTCTGGTGCATTTTTTTCTGCTTTTCTGTTTTTACAAATTTTATTCCTTTTGTTTTTCTTCTATCGCATTTGTTTTAGAAGAAAGACGAGAACTCAACCAGAAGGGAGGGAAAGGTGACACATCCAAAGAAAAGTATAATAAACTTGAAAATACCAGTGTAAGTTGTTGTCTATCACAACCACTACAGAAGAAGGTCTAAATTTTTGAGAATATCAGAGAACGCGTGAGTGAGTGTGAGTGTAGAAAGAGGATCATCATATTTGCACCCAAAGCCATGTCAAACCTCCAAAACACTGACACCTCGGCGTCTTTAGCCTCAATGAGTGGCCATATTCCCGTCGATGGTGCCACACCAAGTGCCCCAATGTCATTTTTCGACTTTAACTTCCTTGATTCGTTGGGTTCCCCCAACCTTTCCCAAACTAATTGTGGTGGCGGAGCGGTGGGAAAACCACCCACCGGGGCGTCAGGCACTTCCGTGTATTCCTCCTCAGAGTTCGACCTCTCGGATTGCATGCGTCTTTTCGAGGGGGCCGGCACGTACGCCACCCCTTCTACGGAGAAAGAGGGGGGAAGTGTGCAGGATCCTCTGCTCTTTTCCTTCACCAATGGCGCTTTCGGGGATACTTGCGGTGGGCTTTTTGGCAGCGACGTCAACCTCACCTCGAAGCCGATTTCCCCCACCTACGGCAATTCCGCAAGCTCGCTGGATGGGAGCAAGCGATCACTCCCGGAAGGGGGGGATCGGTTTGGCTTTCAACCCCTTCCTCTTTCGCTTTCTCAGCCCGCGGCAGCGACCGAGGGCGCCGCGTTGAGGACTTTTTCCGCCGTTTCAAACCCCAGCCTTCTCGCAGGGGAGGGGAATGAAAGCGGCGAGGCCCCGCCAGCGGCGTCGTTTTCGTCGTCGGATCTCGCGCGCGCGCGAGGGGGGGGGTTTCCCCCCAGCGATGCCGCCAAGGCTGAGGTGGAGGAGCCGACGGGGATGCCGCCGCCGGCGCCGCGGGGGGGATCTGCGCCGGGAAGCGCCACTTCTGTCGTGGTTTCCACCACAGCAGGGGTGGATCCCACCGGTGAGATGGATCGTCTTCTCCTTCGGGCAGATGAACTACTGCGGAGCGGGGTGGAGAATCCGGCGGGGGGAGGGGCCGATCTCAAGAAGGACGATTCCGCGAATGGCGATCCCGGGAAGGACGCACCGATGCCGAGGGTGGCGATGAGCGCGTTGATGCTCGATGCGGTTTTCGCCTCGAAGGTCCAGAACCTCCAACAGCGCTGTGATGCCATGCGAGAGGAGGCTACACTGGAGGTGAGTAGCTTGCAGGTGAATTTAACGCAGCTACTGTGGACAATGGGCCCGAATGAGGAGGTTTCCTCAGTATTGGGCGGAGCCTACAGCCATACTGCTATCCCCCATCTGCTGCCGTTAATGATACCCTTTCTGGAAGATTTGCTCAAGGACGAATAGTCTACTTCCCCCCTCTCCCTCCCCCCCCCCTCTCCTCGTAACGAGGAAAGCGTTACCCTTAATCTTATCTTATTCTTGTATTCTATGTATTCTGTTATTTTTATCAACGAAATACCCTTCTCAAATAGGCGATTCGTTCAATTCATTGTTAGTTACGAATAAATCTATCTTTTGGATCAAAACTATTATTTTTATTCTTATCACTATTTTTTTCACTGAGGATTCTGTAGCAGATGTATCATGGTTTTGTATTATTACATCTCTTTGTCTTATGTCATCATGATTTTTCATTTTTCCCATAAGGTATTTCTTACATCAGCCACAGAAACCTCCATTGTTTAATTCACATCTGCTTTTGTATGTATTCTTACTTTTTTTTTGTATTTATTTGTTGAGGGATGCAGGTGTCTCGTTCTCAGTTCCCTGACTGTAGCAACGTTTTGTTTTTATTGTGAAAACTTTTCCATTCTCGTGTGAATGTTCAAGCATCAATTCCTGTGTTCCTTATCTTTGCTTTTCCTGTTGTAAGGTATTCATTAGGTATCTTAAGCCACATACGCGTGATTCAAGTTAGAGAAGACAAATAATAAAACCCATTTGCTACCGATATCTAGATTAAATGGAAGGCCTTACCCAACAAATAGACCAGCTGCAGTTCGCCCTCACCCAGCTCAAGCGTGCTTTACCGACCTCTCTTTCGGATGGTAATCGCGAAAGTTGTTCCCGGACTTTGCATACCACGGCGCCTTTCACGCGGGGGGATCGCGCGGCTTTTCAGGCGACCTTAGCGCACACCACCGCGCTCGTTCACCACTGCTACGTGCGCCACTTCCTTCGCGAACCCCGTCCATCCTCGCCTACGGCCAAGCCGGGGGTGGAGGCCCCCGAAAGAGTGGGGGAGGCGCCGTCAAAGGAGACGATCATGTCCATCGCGCGGCGCTTTCAAATTTCTCCGGAGCTCCTCCGACGGCATAACCCGCACCTCGCCGACTTCGCCGATCCCGTACCGCTGCCGGCGAATTGCTTTTTGAAGCTCCCCCCGCAGGCGAGGTCGCCGTGGTCCTTCCCAAGCCCTGTCCCGAGCGATGGCGATCGCGGCAGCAGCAGCGCCTTTTCCTCCTCTTCCTCTTCGCGGGCGTCTTCTTCTTTAGGGGTGCCCTGTGGGCCCCGGGAGGGATCCCCAACCCCGCAAGCCGGGGAGGACCCCCCCCTTCTGGAGGCCGCGGAGGGCGACGGGATGCACTTTGTCGACCCCCTCGCGATGATGGAGG